AAAAGGAAAGGCAGAGGAAAAAAAGGAAACCATTTTATCTAGGAAGTGGTGGTCGGATTTCAATATTCACCGACGTCGGCGAGCAAGGCAATGGCTCACCACGCCTGTACATCGTACAACCGCAGACAATGGAAGACAATACTGAGTAGTTTCATCTCCCCTTCGAGACGAAAGGAGGTCTGGCGAGTCGATGGTTGGCGGTTTGCATTTCTGTTTCTTTGCCTCTCGGTGCTATGCACTTGCTCGTTTCGTCTTGTTTCCTCCGCTAAGGTAACCCACCACACCACAATGGTTATTCGCCTCCCGGCCTCCCACACCAAGCCGGAAGATCAACGTTTTGGGAGGGGCTTGCTTGGGCTGTGTCCCGGAACGCGATACTTATGCCTGCAACGGGAAGCTGGTCGGCTGTAGAGTAGAAGGAGAAATCAAAGGAACTGTAAAAAGTGCGTGGGTGGTGTATGTCAAACAAGAGAGGGTGTGGAGGAGCAATTTTCTCAGAAAGCAAGGGGACAGTCTATACCTCCCATCCCAACCTTTGTGTTGTCACTTTTCGCTCTGTCTGGCTTCTTTGGGGGGGTTGTGTTTCTGCTCTTTTCCTTCTTTGGTTTCCGGCGCTGCGAAAATGGAGGGTGGGTTGAAACCAACCAGTCTATCGGGTCGGTAGCAAACCACCCTCCTCCTCTAATCCGAGACAGCGCATGCACAGAACAGAAGCTTCCCGCCCTTCCCGCCGGCCTTTGCATTTCTGTGTGTCGAGTGACGTGTATTACGTTGGCCTGTACGGTACATGTATGCCATACGCTGGACTTGCTTCGTTGTTGGGCATGCTGCGTCTTGTGTGGTTGCATGGCTAGAAAGCTGGGAAACATTCTGACCGAGTTCGTCGAGGCGTACTCTGCATTACTCTTGCTTATCCTCCATAGAGTTCTGGTGGGCGGCTGAACGGAACCGCAAGGACATGGTTTGTGGTTGCTACTTTCCAGCCGAAGAAGAGACGAAGAATTCGGAGATGGGCTCCATCCTTCTTCATACCTTCCACATTTGCGCCTGTTCTCTAGGGAGAGTCCCCCATGATACGACTCCATGCAAGCCTTTCGGTATCTGAGAGGACCTCTTCGTCGTAGGAATGGCGTGGACATGAAGGAGTTTGTCAGCGCATCAAGGCCGCTTTGTGTCGATATACGAAGGGAGTACAGAATACTCCGTAGTTTGCAAAAGAGGGTATTCTGCAGATTCAAATTAAATCAAGTCTCGGTTCGGAGTACTCTGTACGTTTCCAGCATGTGCGGGAACGAAAACGCATAAGACAAAATTTCAAATCCTATAAATGTGACAAGTGACGAGGGCCAAGACATGACAAAGGCCAACACGAGCCAGTCAACCACTGTGCACTGCTGTTCCATGGGACAGGACCGGTGCAATGCTTTGTAGGACTCCCGAAAAGGCAATACGGGTGCAGGCGAGATGCCATGTAGCACCCTGTCTCCTGAACCCACTGGGTCGGGTACTGTCTGTGCAGTGCATGGCGAAGGTGCCTCTCAATATGCAGGGTTTGGCTGCATCCGTTGCATGAAGCAATGTTCAGTACAGCGAATGCCGTTGGACGTGTCCCTATCGTCCACGCAGTTCCAATTTGCTTTGGTGTGTCTGGGGTCTTGCTTTTGTTTCTTTGCGTCGGTACGTGGCCCGAGGACCAACACTCACCGCCCTCAGCGGGTAAGGTTTTGGGCCCCTTGTCACTACCCTGGCACTGGCGCAAATACTTCCTGTATAAGGATACGACTTTCTGCATGCGGAACACCGGGACGATGCAGGAATGAGCCAGGCAAGGGCTGCATATCCAGGTGGATGCTGCTTATGGGCGGAGGAGAACACGAAGTAGACTTACTCGTAGTACGTACACATTCTCTGCTGAGACTGCTAGAGAAACTAAGTTGGGATTCGGTACGGAGACATCGTTTGATGTCGTTGCACCTCTGTGGCTTGCTGTCAGGGCTTTTATGTGTAGATTTGACTGTTGAGAATGCTGAGGCTGCTTCAGGTTAGCCTGGCGGAAGAAAGGAAGAGAATGGAAAGGGATGTACTAAAGTCCGTGATTTGGTTGACGCACATGATTACGTTAGTAGAACAGGAGAGAAGACGAGAAGGTCGTAAGGAATGGAGGCTGGGAAACATCCTTTGGTGTCACCCCGGGTGTGTTTGTCATAGATAGACGAATGTTTCGTATGAGCAAGTGAGATCGCATTGGACAACTCGTCGCATTCAAGAGCCTTGTCGCGTGAGATCTGGTTTCCGTGTTGGAGCCATATGTAGCGCTGGCGAGCATATCGTGCAGATGCTATGCAATATCATGAACGGAGTTCAGAAATATGTGAAAATCAAGCAACCATACTGCGTAGGACAGATTGCATTTTTAAGATGGCCGGAGGAAATGTACAACGATAAGAAGCCCTTTTCTGTTATGTAAAACATGAAAAACAGCTCTCGATTAGGGGGCTGCGACGAAGAGAAGCCGACTTACAACATATATTCCGGCATCATGCAGCTCAAATTACAGATAATTTCTTGTGCCAAGAGCCGTAAAGTGATGTTCCAAGTCCAGGAATGCTGTCGACGCATATAAAAGACAATAGTTGTGTGTATTTGCAAGGTCGTTTGGTTGTGTGAAATATTGTGCCTTTGTTGATGAAATGGTGGTACTTTGCAAGGCTCTGGTACAAATTAAACCGATGTACATCCACGAAAAGGCCCGAAATGGTCCATCGTCGACGAAAGCTCCACATGCATCCGTGCTTAATTCGCACGTAAAGCACAAAATATTTGAGGCGTTCATGACATGCATGTAAGCTTTGTGTGTCGTCTCTTCTCACAGGCGTACTGAGCATCGTTAGCAAACAAAGCAATCAGGTGCCCGAGACACAGCGTTAGCAAATGGAATATAAATGCAATGTTTTACGGAGTAGCTGCCCACCGTATTCGTACTTGAATTACGTCGCAAAATACGGAGTCCACCGTGCTGTCCAAGGGTCCGGCAGAATATGATTATTGCATTGTGATTGCGTCTGCAGTCGGCGGTCCCGAGGATGTGGACAAGCTGGTCAGGGGGGCCAAAGTGACTGGGGTGGCCATTACCTCGTTTAATGTCGATGTCTTGCTTTTGGCCTGTTTCAACTTTAGCAGTGTTGTATTGAATGGCCCATCTTGTGAACCAATGGCTTTGCACGTATGCCCAAAAGCGTGAAGCAAATCGCGGAGAGATGTTTCCAGTGTCTCCTGAACCCTGTCGTGAATTGTGGTCCCCCCCCTTGCACGATAGCCCCCAACGGGAAGTTAAAATTACGACACTGCAGACAAAATGATCAGCAAGGAAACCCGAGAACAGCGGGAGAAGGCTGAGAGAAGAATCAAGGCGGGGGCGACAGGGAGGGGCATGCCCCCGTATCACGTACATAAACAGAACAGACGTTGACTTATGTGTGAGTTAGGGGTGCCTTGTTCCCGTGTTCTACGCATTTTCAGCGTCCCACTGTCATTTTTCTTAGATGTCACTTCATGCGTTCACGTCGCACTGGTAGCTTTTGAGCTGTTGCTGGCTTCAAGTGAACCAATCCGTGTGAGACGGACAGATGGAAAGAACTTGTTTCGTACTCACTGTTTGAACGTTTGCTTCTGCTATTGCGGCGTTGCGCCGTGACCTATCATAAATGAGAAGTTGCGAACGTCCGTAAACCACCTGGGCCAGTAACGACCTGCTGAGAGAAGAAACTGAGTGGCGGCCCAGACAGTCGGGTTCAGATGTCGTTTGGCTGAGTCGCCTCTGCTTGGTCCTGTGATGGTTCCAGGGCAATTTTGATTTTTCATCCAAACATGCAGGCGGGTCGGCTGAACTAACCGCATTCGCTCAAATAATGCTGTGGTGCATGTCCCTCTGTCGGCTGCCGCAAATTGGTGTAAAATGCGACTGTATAAAAGTGTTGATATAGCCAAACAGAGCAGGTTTTCATGGCATTTTCACGAAATCCCGGGTTTCCCCTATTCTTGGTACGCTTGGACGAGCACAAAGAATTAGGCGTATCTGGCAGTGGGGTTTAAAACTCGAGTGTGCCGTAGTTTTATCTTCTCGCATAGCTCTTGCGTGGCTAGTGGGAGTCCGCAATAAGAGGCCAAGGGGGCTCCTTCGTATCCAGCCCAGGACAGGCCACATGGCCCATCTAGCGGATGTCGACATGGCCAAATACTATGTCCCTATGTTTGCGCCATAGCAGTGCCCTTGTTCGTCGTTTTACTTTTTCTTCTTCTTCTTTCGTTTATTACGAAGGCGGTTGTATTTTCTCGGGTTCTCGTGTCGCGAGAACCTGTCCGCGCCGTATTTCGGATGAAAAGAAGAACGTAAAGCCCGAATGTGTGGACTCAAGGACAAGACCGATTCAAAGGAAGATAATATTAACCGGACAGGGTGACGGTGGACTCCTTCGTTGCGGAAATGAGATGTAATAAGATGTGCTCTGCATGCGAGTGGAGAGATATGGAGGATGGAGACAGGGCAAGTCGGTTAGAAACGTGAGCAGAAATCAGGGAAGTACGGCATCATGAGAGCTGCACGAGGAGGTCAAGCTTGACCTTTGTGACGCCCGACCAAAGGTGGATTTTATGACGTGGAGGCGTATCATTCGAGCGTGACGCCGAGGGTGTGAGATGGAATGGGCCTCTTGCGTGAGCTGAGCGTCCGCGTGCCTGCTTGCGAGTTCACAGTGAGATAAGAGAGACCATAGCAGTGAATGTAAGTAGGTTGATCCTCGCAGCGGTCAAATTAGCCTCGTGATGTCTGGTAACGAGGCGGCGGAAATAAATCTCCCATGAATCGTCGAGAAGGCAATTACTTGGAAACTGTGGCAGTTCGTTGCCGATGCCTTTAGTGGGGGGCGAAAAAAGGGACGGATGTTCGTCCTGTGTGACCCAGCGCGGTCATCGGCAGGTTTCTGATTTCTAGGTTGATCAATATGACCAAACTTGGCAAAGATGATTGGTTTCGATCCGTCGATGTTTCAATTCTGCCAGTGCCTCGGATACGTAAGCAAACATTCAGGCAAAAAAAAAATGTTCAAGAAGGGAAATAACCTCGTGTATTTTGGTCAGATCCTGTCGAAGAACACCAGAGACAAAAAGACCCAGTGAGAGACGAGAGATCCAAATCCCGATGGTCTGGAAGCGCCCGAAACGAGGAGCCTGTCCTTGTTGCCACCACCGTTCAGCCAAGACTGTGCTTGCTTTCGCTGGCTTTGGTTTCCGGCAAAGAAGGAAAATACCCAATTATACCGGTCATGAATGCAATTTTGGAAGGCGTGTGGTCCGTCCCAAGGCATAACTTCGCTTTGACCATGATACTCCCAGCGTCTCCGGTGGCTGTCTTGGAAATTGCGAGCACGGAGGGCTCCGTCCTTTAAAACCCTGGAGAACCTGGATTGTCCCGTTGAAAGATTTATTTGCTTGCCATTATATCCCATTGCCCACGGGAAGCACAGGCTTCGTCATGTTTACACCGTTCAAGGCGTCTTGCCGATTAAGTCTTGGTGCCTGCCCTGGCCGACTAGTGTGCTCGCTTGAAGAGGACCTAGTGCCGCATCAAAGGATGGCGCTGCAATTTAGCGGCAGTATCTGGTGCTGCAAGTATTCCCAAGGTGCAGGGTTACGACCATGACGTTGCTGTGCAGGACACTTTTCAACCGGTGAGAATAGAGTGGTGCCGTGATAATTCGATGAGCGAAAAGGGTGGGATTTTGCTTGCTGTCTGTTCCGTTTGCCGGCTGGTCTCCATCTTTACGTCGTATGTGGGCGTGCTCCGAAGAAGGAACAGTGTATTTCGTACAGTTAAAACAATCCATACTCCACATGTACAGTGGGATTTGCGACGATCAACATTTGCTGGTCGTCAGTATGTGTGCGGCATACCAAAAAAAAAAAATCAATTTCACGGTTTTGAGAAATATCGTCATGTTTGTAATCCAACAAGCGCAGTTTACAGCGACTTTAAGCGTGCATTGTGAGCGGGAGTTGAAGTAAAGGTGATTCAGGGGTGATAAACAATGGAAAAATTTACTCACTGTTTTTTTGTACACTGTTCCAATTTCGAGACACTTTGTCTTATCGCCCCAGAACAAAATGACGTTCTAGTTCGGTTACTAGTCCGCCGCCCACGTTTTCGTTTGGGACCCAACACCCCTTTTTTGTTGACATGGATGAGCCTTGTAAAATCTGCAATGGAAGTTACGTTTGCAGGGACCAGAACAAAAAATGTTCTACTGCACCAGGGCCTCTACTGCACCACGGCCTGGTTTTTCGCTAAGGCAAGAATTCGGGAAATAACGATAAGGCATGAGAAATTACACATGCTTGGCCAGCATGTTGAGGATCTTGAAAAAGTCGTCCTCATTTCTCGGTGAAGAAAATCAAACCCTTCTGGGGACTGTTCCGTATCTGTTGTGGACGACACCCCCTTCTTTTGCCGGTTCAAGGTTAACAGCCCCAAAAAGGCTCCAAGAGGACGGCAACACCCTGGCGGGGCCGAAGCCGCTTCTGCCATTTTGAATCCCAAGTCCATGTCCTCGGGTTTTCATCGAATGTTTTGTTGCGCCCTCGCTTTTGTTGCCCTGGTGGAACACAGACCTATATTGCCCCAGCACAAAGAGTCCTGGAGGTGGACTAAAGGCAGAGCGAGTAGGACAATTTCTTTATGCCCCTTAATTTGGTGAGGCTTGGTAAAATGTTGTGCAACCACCGCGTGAAGCAGGCATGCTTGGTGTGTGTGCATGTGTGTATGTGAGTGTGGGTGTGCACAAGCTGTGGAGGATACCCATTTGTGATGACCAGAATAGATGGCACTTTGGCAGGCCTTTCGTTTTCTAGAATCGTTCTTCTATTTCGGATTTTGAATGGGTGTGCGGTAGTGTCGGCTTGGGCTCTCTCGAGAGCACATGGAAAGTGAAAGGCGAGATAAAATGCTACCCGCGCCAGGCGCTGGTAATCATCGTATCGGCCTGTTAGCTCGGCCTGCACTTGTGACGAAACAAAACCGTCTCTCAACCATTTTGTACAAAGGCCGGCACAAGCACTGCACTTTCTTTACAGAACACTGGTGTGGGCTGTGTTTGAGGTCGACGAAACACGGCACAGAAGGGGCAAGATAGAGCTCCACTATGCACGCCGTCAGTCAGATCCTTGCAAGACAATGCGCGCGATGTGGCAATAAAGAAGTCATTTGAGCTCCAACTATGTCGGTCTGCGAGAAATGACAGGGCATATGGTCAAATGGAAATGCAGTTCAGAATAGTGCGGAAGAAAAGAGTGGACCTACCGGTGTTATGCCAAAATAAGGACCAGGGAGGGAAAGGTAAAAGGGACGCAAGATGGTGTGGGGTGGGCGACTAGGATCAAGCCAAGCACCCAAGGTTACTCAGTACGGCCTCAATCTTTGTGCAGCTTGATGAGCCCTCGTTCTGAACCCGAGGAAAGGGAACTTTCCATTAAACAGGGGCTGCACATGAACCACAGCAAGGTCCAGGCAGAGGTGCTTCAAATTGCTGCCAGCGAAGCAAAGAGCAAGGCACCATGCACACCCCCATTGGTCTTGGATGGGAAGATACCGCCACCAATGTGCAAAGCCGCACCTGCTGCGAAGAAAGTCCCAGCAGTGGCACCCACACGCTGGCTTCGTCGCAAATCTGCTGGCCGTTCTTGGAAGACTGATGGCAAACACCGGAACTATCATGAAATACCACTTGGCTCCTTTTCAGGCAGCAATGCACCAATACATTTCCGGTGCCACTGGCCTGGTGGTCGGAGCAAGAGGTGGTCTGCTGTTCGGCGTGACTGGGCTTGCACGTAACAGACGTCTGTTTTGACCCTTCGGTCTATCGGCATAGGATTATGGCTCCACGTAAACGCGTCGGGGGCGAGGCACATGGTGTTGTGGGCGGTGTAATTGTGACGAACGTGCTTGTTATGAGGGAAGGTAAATACCTAGGAAAGTTCTGGTCGAATCTCGCGTGGTTAGCTCTTCAACTTTACCAGGGGACGAAAGTTGAGCAAATCCAGGAAAAGCAACAAACCCACCAGAAGAAACCATGAGAGAAGATGCGAATGCCTCGCGTAGGGCCGGAGGCCTGGGAGGTGAACTTCTATGTCTTTCACTGGAACATCCCGTGTACAGGGAGACGCAATTCAAGCTACCACAGGCTGTTTGCCGTCAGTCCTGTCCGCAATGGTCCCTAAGTGAAGATCGACGGCGATATCATGGGGAGTTAAAGCTTTCTGCAATGGTCACTCAACCTAAAGGTTAAGAGGGTCCACTTCGAGAAAATTGTGTTGGTTTTTCAGGCGGCAATACGCCCTCCAAAGAAATAGGGGAGGAGAAATGTTGCCAGCATTTCTTTAGAAAGACAGCTATTCGACAGCCACAGGTGCTAGGTATGACTCCAAGGCATTTGCAACCAGCCTGCCCTGTAGCAATCTGGATTCTTCGTGACGTGTTGGTCACTGGCCACACGCCCATACTGGCAGTTGACAAAGAGCCTTCAAAATATCGCTTCTTAGACTTTTGACAATAGCTTCTTCCGTCTTCATCACAAAGAAACTATTTCTGGGAATTTCGGCCTTCGAAAGCAGCACCGGTGCCAACCAGACATCTGGTAAAGTTGCCCAGTTTTACCAAAATGGCAGCCGAGAGGTAAGGATACCTGGGTTTGGCTTTTGTTGTTTTGTTGCAGAGCACATTGATCTCGTCAAAGAAAATTCAAACTGATAGAAGCAGTTATGATCCGACCGTACCTCTTGACGAGAGCCTCAAAGAGACCGTTACTTTCCACGGGAGAGAATACCAACAATATTCATTGCAGAATAATGTGTACTTCTCTCCCATAGATGAAGTAAATTGACCCATCCCTTGCTTGCTTTTGTATATGTGCATCGTTAGAGAGCCCCAGAAGTCAAAACCAACGACAAGAAACAATGACAGGCCATTCCAAACCGCATTTCTAACTCCCAGGCAGGACGAAGTTGAACGGCTCCAGGTCGCCCATGAGGCCTTCAGAAAAGTATTCGACAACCGTTTGATTTTCCCGCCCGTTCATCGGTTGAGAAAGGTTCTCGACTGCGGTTTCGGCACAGGGGCTTGGGCGGCCGAGGTTGCCGCGGAGTACCCAAGATGTGAGGTGTGTACTTTCAGACTTCTCCAAGTCTTTATTCGAGTCCACCAGTGCCCGGGTAATATCGGTAGTGAGACTTTTCAAGATCACGATTTCAATCCGACTGCGTCTCTGGCTTCGAAGACAAAACAGCAGAAGGCGGTTGACGATTGCGTTTTCGAATCATACGCTAGAATTAAGAAAGATCACAAAGTCGTTGCTAACTCACTAACAATTGCAGGTCCTCGGAATCGACGTCAGCCCTCACATGGCACAAGACGATGATCTGCCAAATCTTGATTTTCAGGTTGATGACCTGAATAGGAGGTAAGCCAGGCCACTATTAAGAAGCATAGCCGTGGAAACATTTGCCATCCAAGTGAAGCTTATCTGACGACAAACTTATTCACAGATTCACATTCGATACAGGCGAATTCGATCTGGTGCACAGTCAGATGGTTGCAGGGGGTATAAACGCTGGACGATGGAAAAGTTACCTGAAAGACATGTATCGAGTAATACGACCTGGCGGTTGGTGTCAAATCGTCGAGATATATTACCAAGCACAATCAGACAACGGGTCTCTAACGGACGGTAAGTTTCAGGGAGGTCGTCACTGGTCTTGTTTGGTGCCATTTTATGTTAACCAAGGCCATGGCAAATCAGACAGTGGACTTCGACAATGGTCCAAGCTGTACATGCAGGGCGTCAGCGATCTGAAAGACCCAAGAGCACCAGTCCGGATGGATGCCCTTGTTCGCCATGCCGGCTTCACGGAAGTCGAGTCGCGAGTTATGCAGATGCCAATGTGCGGGTGGCCAACTGGTATGACTGCTTTTCTCCGTGGCCATTGGGTTGTTGCCTTTGCTAACACCGGCATTAAAGATCCCCGAATGAACGAAGTCGGACGAATAAATAGGGAAAATGTGCAGAGATTGTTGTCATCGCAGGCGATGTACATCTTCACTGAGAAACTAGGGTAAGTTTCGCTGTCCAATGTTTCTGATGTTCGTTTCGACGGCCGGTTGAAACCGAATGTTGTTCATGCTTTTGGTCTGATATCTCTGGCTAACGGTTATTAATGTGGGCTCATAGAATGCCTTACGACCAAGCCCAGGTGCTCATCGCACAGGCACGATTAGAAGCAAACAACCCGGCAATTAAGGTATGGAAATGCTCTTAATACTGAACTTTGATAGATGCCCGAAACCGGGTAATGAAGCCTCTGGTGTCGGCAAGAGAAGCAACTTGATTGTCGAAAAATTATTCCCCTATATTGTTAGCTAACATATCCTTTCAATTCTCGTTTTAGGCATATTTTCCATTGTGAGTATCCCCTTGAGCCCTTGTCCAACCCTAGTTCATTCAGATTCAACTTCAGGGCCAAATACTGACGCACTAAACGCACCTCCTAGATATGTATGCATTGGTCGGAAGCGTCACTGAGAAGACGGGGAGTCACATATATGAGTGTGCAAGTTGCTGGCCCAAATTGGTCCGAATCCGAAGCCGTTCTTTACCAATAGAATGACGGGGTTCGTTCGCAGTATCTTGAGGTATGAGACGAGACAGTGGCTTTTGGAGTACTTCGTCGGTGTTTCGAGTACCCTCTGTGTTGCCGATGTATAAAAGCCGACTGTGTTCGTCTTGTCTCAATCCGTGAAGCACGTTGACAGACTCTTTGACGAGCCTAAAAAGCAACTGCCAACCATTGACCTTCACGAGGTCCTTTGACGCTCCATTTTCACTTCATGGCTAACTCGCTTTCGAGGTCAATTTCAATGGCCATTTCAGAGCAAGCCCTTAACTGCGGTTAGCTGACTGTCCTGCCCTATTTCTGTATAGCATCATACTTTCCATGGTAGCTGGCATATCAAATACTCAAATATCACTCCATTTGCTGTTAGAATATGGACAAGTCATACTTTCAGCACTTCGGAAACGCCGTCGTCGAGGCCCGACTACTAACAGTTGAATGTGGCGTGTCTGTGATATGAATGCAGCTATTGAAAGGAGTGCCCGTTTCGTGTACAAGAAGATTGTTGTTTTGAAGATGGACCGCGCGAAGGTAATGCGATATTGGGGTGGGGGATGAAATATTAGACGGCTGACAAAGCTTGAGTCAGTCGTTCTTATCAAGGAAGTCAACTCGTTAAGCCTGTGAGACAGTTTTGCGGAAGGTAGGTCCTCATCTGCAGATTCCTGCCTGCTTTGGCGGTCGAGTTTGGCTGCGAAAAGCTGCCCTAACAGTTGATCAAGGCAGGAGCAATGGTGGTGGAGTGTGTAAATCAGGCATGGGGAAAGGGCGAGTGTTGGGAGCTTTAGGGAAAGAGCGAATCACGCACGTTGGAGTGGGCGAAGGGTACATCCCATGATGGGCAACATCCACCCACCTCTCGCCATTTTCAAGTCCTTTGGACAACAAACGTCAAGAGACAACCGGGACACAAGGAAAATGGAAGACGACAAAATGGGATGGACCACAGATATCCGTTCGGAATCTACCATTCGGCAACAGCATATGCACGGCGCACCAGCTTCTCCGCGAACGGCAGTATCGGGTCTAGGAAATGAAAAGGAGGAATTAATAGTAGGGTAAGTAGCGCCCAACCGCACCTTTCCCACGAAAACGACATTGCCGACAACAATGAGTACCTTTTTCCCTATTTACGGCTACAGATAGACTCCGGCCGGGACAACTCATCAGAGGGCCACCCAACGCACGTGTTGGCCAACTCCAGCTTAGCTTGGAGGGATCTCGATGGACAATTGCCTGGCATGACCGGAAGTTTACTTGCGAGCCAGTCTTCTACTCTTGGACAAGCCCAGTTCCATATCCTACATTGGGGAACAAGGATGATGTCCAGCCTGTTTCTGCCCAACTAGCAGGTGCATTCATGTACACACTGCTGTTTCCTTCGCGTCACCCTCCCTATCTTCCATCCTCTTTGACACCGCCGGCTGGGCCAACAAGTTCACCAGACGACACCGCGAGCTTTTTTCTTGCGTTTGAACGCCGAAAAGAAAGGCTGCAAGCGGTGATCAACCCATCCGCAGCACATCCCTAGTCTGACTGGCCATTAATTAAGGTGATCTCCAGTCGGAGGGTGTTGGTGTGGGTGGAGCTACCTGTGTTTCTGACTGGTTCTGAAGCACAACAAATCGGAACGAACGCCGCGCCCTGGGATTATCACAGAACGGATCCGACGAGTGCTGGTCAAGCAAGCTCCACGTTCCTGTCACCGAACCCCAACCCACAAGGTCGAGGAGGTGTCCAGGTTTGTGGAAAGTCAAGTTCTCGTGGTTAGAAAGAAAATGATAGCGACGGCCAGTGAGGTTTGTCGAATGAACGGACTGGCCACCTTTGCCAGAGGCAAGTTTAAGGTCGGCACCGCGTCCTCGACGAGACATGTCATACTGGTTTGGCCCAGGCATGTGTGGTGTTCCACCACGAGCAACAAACGCCACACAGCATCTGGCGACCACGGGCATGCACTGTCTGGCCTAGGCCGAGGCCTGTCTATGCGGCTGGCAGCCGCTCATTGCGCACTACGTTGTGGACGGCGTCGACGACCCTAATTTTGCATTTATGTTCCTGATCGCGACGACTGACGACTTTGACCAGCCGACCGAGGACACACACGTCTTTGATCTGGTTGCGACGGACATGCTGGGGCAGATAAGGAGGCTTGGTCGGTGGAGCGGGTGGAATGGCCGGCCGAGACTGAGACGAGCATTCTGTCCGCGCCGACGTTCAACTTTTGGACTTTCGTGCATAATCATATTATCGTACGGTGAAGAGTTGTTCCTAAGGGGCTTCAAGGAAACAGTAAAATATACCTCCGTCTTGCTTTATTTTAGGTACAGGCCGCGTCGTTACAGTGATGGTGTATTTTTAGTATTAACGTGGGGGCGGCGCACGGCGCGTAACTATAGCAAAAATTTAGGCGCGAAGAAGGCCACAGATGTGTTTTTCTCTCTATCTAATTAAGTTCCGTGTGAACCTGGGCGAGGCGAAGTCGCAAAACCAGATTGCCCAGGGCCTGGTCCTCCTCAATTAGACTTTCGTCAGACCCGCTCTCTCCTGATCGCTCCTCCAACTTTCCACGAAGTGAACTCGTGAACATGGACTGCCTGGATGAGATCAGAGTAGTAACATCCACCCCCTCCGGGTTGGCCAGAACGCTATATTGCATGCGAACATCATCGAGAGGGACCAGGCCGGCCTTTTTCCGGAGCTTCTGAAACCGCGTAAGGATGTCGCGGGCTAGGCCGTCTTCGAGCAGATCCGGGTAGGATGTGCCATCGAGCAGCACCACAACATCTTCGTCAAAGGATGGCTCCCAGGTGGGGCCATCTGTTGGCGAAGACGCATTCTGTTTCTCAACAGGCATCTCCCACACGATGCTCAAGTCATTTTCTGCGAGGTGTATTCCCTGAACCACGATATGCTTCTCGCGCTGGTACGTCCGAAGTGCCTCCTGCGTCAGACCAGGAAGCGCCTTGCGAACAACCTGGACGTCTTTTTTGAGCCTCTTGCCCAGCGTTGGCCAATCCACTTTCGCCTTTAGATGGATGCCGTACTCCTCTTCGTCATCTGTGAGTACGATGTCCCGAACGTTGAGTTCTTCTGCCACGTAAGACCGTAACCGATCAACGTCGGCAAGAAACTGGGCATCCCCAATCACCACCAACGATCTGAGGGGGGACTTGAGGCTAATGCCGAGGCGCTCTCGCGCTGTTCTCGCGAGTCTGATGACCCTCTGCATGGCAGACATCTGCCTCTCCACCACGGTATCTAGGAGCGCCTCTTGGACCGCGGGGAAAGGAAGAAAGTGGACGCTCGCTGTATTTTCGCGTCCCTCGTCAAAGTCGCTGATATACGGTTTCAATAGACCATAAATGTGCTCCGTGATGAACGGTGTGAACGGAGCCATAGAGCGTACAACGGTGAAGAGGACCTGGAAGAGCGTGTTGAGCGCTGCGGTCGTATCTCCCACGCCCAGGCCAGCTGCGCCTTTCAGTCGTTTGCGGTTGAAGCGAATGTACCAGTTCGTCAAGTTATCAATGACTTGCAGCAGTCGCGGAACAACTGTGTATAAGCGATACCCTGGGAAAATGTAAGACAAATGTATGAAAAAATACCAGGTTGGGGTTATCTTTTATGATATACTTGTACTTACCTTCCATTTCTTGGTCCATGAACCGCAGGAGACTTGGCAGTCGGCAAGGATCCATCGGTCTGTGATATTCAAGATCTTGTCGTTTGCAGATGATGTGGAAATAAAAGCCGTCCCTGTCGTGTTTTGAAATAGGATGGCCTGCTCCGAGAAGAAACGGTAACTGTTCCAAAGAGGCAGCAGTACGCGACTTATGACTTCTCTGACTCCAGCCTCGTTGAAGCGCAGCGGCTCGCCTCGGACGACGGGCGAGTTGATGAGGTAGAGGCGAAGTGCATCCGATCCGTAGTTGTCAAGAATATGAGATGGGTCTGGGAAATTCTTCAGGCTCTTGGACATCTTCTTGCCGTCTTCGGCCAACACAAGCCCGTTAACGATGCAATTTCGGAACGGTGACACACCAAAGAGCTTGTTCCCGAGAACCGTCAGGGTGTAGAACCAGCCGCGCGTCTGATCGAGGCCCTCAGCAATGAAGTCCGCTGGGAAGAGGTCTCCTTGGAACCGGTCTTTGTTTTCGAACGGATAGTGGTTCGAGGCATATGGCATGCTCCCGGACTCGAACCTAAAGGGGGCCAAGGTCAGCCGCGTACTTGTAAAAGAGCGTTGGCGAAGAGAACATACCAGCAATCAAAAATCTCATCAATCCTATGCAAAACACCTTTCCCCTTCTGTGATGGGATCGTAATATGATCCACCTTATCCCTATGAATGTCATCGAGCGGCCCGTTATATCCGCTAAGGCGTCTCAGCTCCTCTCGACTCCCGACGCACACCACTTCCTCGTAGTCGTCGCTGACCCACAGCGGAATCGGCGTGCCCCAGTAGCGATTGCGGGAGACGTTCCAGTCGTGCGCGTTCGTCACCCAGTTCACAAACCGCTTGTCCTTCACGGCTTCTGGCACCCACGTTGTGCCCTCGAGGTTGCCGAGCATGGTCGGAGTCGAATTGGTTACTTTGATAAACCAAGCTGAGACGGCCTTGCGAATAAGTTGGGTTTGAGATCTAGGGCAGAACATGTCCACATGCATTACCTGCGTCTCGACTACGAGGCGCCCGGTCGGTCGTAAATCTTTGATAATAGCCTTGTCTGCGGCCTTCACATGTTGCCCCTCATAGTCGGCCACCTCATGCGTAAAACGCCCTTCGTCGTCCACCGGACATGGCGGCAGCCGATCGTTCGAAATGAAACCAGCAGCAATGGCGGCATCGTAGTCCTCCTGGCCGAACGCGGGGGCCATGTGGACGAGTCCGACACCTTCACCCGCTTCGACGAACTCTGCACCGATCACTTGAAAACAGTCGGCGAACGTGCTCGTGAAATATTCGAAGAGGGGTTTGTATCGCCATCCAACCATGTCACTTCCCATAATTTTGTGGACAACTTTATACTTGGCCTTCTTAGGATCCTTGTAGAGTGTCGACAGGCATCCTTCCAGGAGCATGTAAAAGCGCCCTGATTTTTCGTCCAAGATCTTGATGTATTCAAAGGTCGGCTTAACCGCAATAAGCAGGTTCGACGGCAAGGTCCACGGGGTTGTTGTGTAGACGAGCAGCGATGTGTTTTCGTGCCCATGCCCCTCGAGAAGCGGAAAGGACACCACGATGGCGGGATCCACGGTGGTCTTCTCGTTCTGCCTCTCCTCCATATGGCTCAGCGGCGTGCCGAGCGCTGTCGAGAAGGGCATGATCTGATAGGCGCGATACACATCGCCTTTGGCATGCAGCTGCTGGAAAACCCACCAGCAGGACTCCATAAAGGTCACGTCCATGGACTTGTAGTCGTCCTCAAAGTCGATCCAGCGCCCCAGGCGCTCGATAACCTGCTGCCATTCCTCCGCATACGTCATGACGATGGCTCGACACTCGGCGTTATACTGCTCGATGCCCATCTTGAGAACCGCTTCGCGGCCTGAGACGTGCAGCTTCTTGTCGACCTCGTGCTCCACGGGCAGGCCGTGCGTGTCCCACCCAAAGCGGCGGACGACGTGATAGCCTTTCATGGACCAGTATCGAGGAATGATGTCTTTGATCGTGGACGTGAGAAGATGGCCATAGTGCGGAAGCCCTGCATGATTGTCAGCCTCAAGAATCCAACAGAAGCAGGGAAACAGGAGGCGGCTGCACTCGCCCACTCACCGGTCGCTGCACGACAGAAAAGAAGGGTTAGCAAGCGTGTATAAACAAAGACAAGGATCATGTAAGAGAAGTAGCGGCGGCAGCAGGTCAGACGACCAGGCCATGACCTACCAAAAGGCGGGCCATCATAGAAGGTGAAGCGTGGACCATTCTGCGTGAGCCGGAGCTGTGTCTGGAATGCATCGATTGCCTTCCAAAATTGAATTGTCGCCTCCTCGGTTTTAGGGAAGCTGATGCTCATAATGTCGGTATGGTCTCTGAATATCTATGTTCAAGAAGTGGACGTAGGCGTCGCGCAAGGTGGGAAGAATATGTACTCCGTAAGAATGGGGTGAGTCACCCCGGTGAAACAAGAGCATGTACAACATATGATAGAGTTTTATTACCCCGCCTCCCAAAAAGGCATTTACAATAAACCAAAAGACATGCACATCGACGAACATTGGCGCACAATCTTGGTGAGCTTGCCGCGCGATGTTGAGTACTGTACATTCGTAACCTTTGTCACTTTGCTGTCAGAGTAGCGCCTGGTGCAGCTTCAACGAACCTTGGCCCGCTAATGCTCAGCCAGTTCCTCCCCTTCGGCTGAGGAGCCTGGGGAAGGGTGAACGCTACAATCTAACTGGCCAATTCAACAGCCTTCCACAGCTGGAGCAAAAATTTTAGGGAAAACACAACACTCCCAGCAACTCACTCTTACGAGACTGACCCGACCACCCACGACGATGAGCAGCGTCTAGACTGCTTCTAGACACACACGATACGCGAGCGAACTGCGACATATCACAAACCACTGCCCAAGCTCCTCCACTCCCGCCAACGACACACCGCCCCACGAAGCCATAATACACGATGACGTCCAGACTCAGCATGAGGCTGCTTACCGCCACCGCGCCCTCCCGCTTGCTCTCCCCAAGCGCCGCAACACCCCTTGTCGCCTCGGCTACAGCACGGTACTGTGCGCAGCGTCGGACGTACTCGTCGGAAGAGGATGCCCCGCCACCACCTCTGCTTGTCAAGCTCCGAGGTGACCTCAAGACGGCAATGAAGGCCAAGGACAAGAACCGCCTGACAGTGCTCCGGTCTATTATGGCCGCGACACTCAATGCGAGCAAGACAGCGAACCCAGTCAACACAAATGCCAAGGTTGTGGCGCTGCTCCGGAAAACGGCCAAGTCGTCGCAGGACGCTGTGGCTGAGTTCCGTCAGGCCGGCCGGGAGGATCTGGCGGAGCAGGAGGAGAACCAGATCAAGATTCTCGAGGAGTACGCAGACAGCGGCGGCGTCAAGATCGATCCGGCCGAGGTTGAGGCGGTGGCCAAGGAGGTCCTGGCCAAGCTGAAGGAGGAGCGCGGCGGAGCCACTGTGAAGGCCGGCGATGTGATCAAGGTCCTGGTGGCACCTGGTGGCCCGCTGGACGGCAAGGACATTGACAGAGCTGAGATGGCACGGACGGTGAAGAACTTGGTTGCCTAGACATTCAGTGGTCCGGAGGCCAGAAACGAGTTTGGAGACGAAAGCCCGGCGCCTGGTTTACGAGCACCATGACCATGGCCCATGAAAGAGACACAAGAGAGTATTACGAAAATGAAAACATTCTGCTCCATCTTGCAGCCACGTGCATAGCATGCAGCCCCTCGTTGGGGACTTGAGCCAGCCAACCTCGGGCGCAAAGCAAGGCTCCTTTGGTATTTGAGCAACACAGATATCATTGCCCACATGGATGGGAAATGATACGAGGTTCGGTTACGAACAGAGGCTGAACGCCATACTTCGTACGGATGCGATCTTCTATTTCGACTTCTTTCTGTTCTGCTCGCAGCCGACCCCCTTGCAAGAAGCCCGTGCGACGGCTTACAGACAAGGCTGCACGACAAATTAAACGACCCCGGCATAATCACAAAACCATCGGATTCCGCGTCACTGAGCACATATCCTCATAAGATCCGCGTCGGAGCATCGGTGGTGTTTCGGGCACATCTTCTGCAGCAGTCTTCATTTTGTACCGTTTCGCCGCTGGTCTCTTGTTGGTCACAGTGGTTGGTCACGGTCACAAGGCACGATGTTAGCCTGACAGAAAGTGGATTAAATTGACATGGCGTCCAGAAACGACGTTAACCAAAACATGCGGCTGATTAGACCAGAACTGTTTATTAGAACAAAGACACGGACGATGTCCTCCGATTCAACATAGGCCCATTTACTGTATGGTGTCGCTGGTCTGCCTTGGAACAAATCCATGGCTGCGGCTCATGGCCCCGGTGGTCAAAAAGGCACCGAAATATTGCAAAGGAGGGTTGGCAGAGAGAATAGCGGCAGCCTACGAGTACGCCAACATTCGACCAGGCAAATCTTGGCTTTCGGCAAGGCTTCCCCTCACTTCACCACAGTCTATTTCCAATTCTGACTTGTCCATTTGCATGACAACGACGTCAAAACTGTATATTTCTAAATTTCCACACTGTTTATACTCCTGTTTGTTCTTGTGATTCCTTTCTAAGGGGTCTGCCTTGCTGTTTGCTTAGAATCGCTTTAGTCGATATCCGGAAAACAACAGCTAGTGACGGCAATAGAGCAAAGTAACGGCGGTCGCGTGGCTGAGAGACAAAAGAAAAACGAGACGGTTACACCTTGCCGCACTCATTTACACAAGCTCGCACATGGCACTTCCTAAACCGGCAGACTTTACGTCCTTAGGAAGCTACCAAACAAAGCACTTCCTCGCTTTCTAACTCTAGTGTGTGCTTTTGTATCCCATACAAACGCATGATCAGAGAGGGGAACGCCATGTTCACGAATGGGTGTGCACACCTTGATCAAGGCGACTTGCTTAAACACTTTAAACTACACATGCACCAGGCAGCCAAGCCCTCGGCATGCTTGCAATCATAAAAAGCGACAACAGCCGCAAGTCTGACCACAAGCAAAAGAGCATCCTGCGTGTTTGTTGCTCCAAACCTCCAGAAACTACCATTGTTCCCGAATCACCCATAACCTATTTCAGTGTGATACGAAACACGAAGCGACTCTCCGCCAGGGCAGGATTTCGCCATTGAATGGCTTTCTTTCCCCGTGCAAGGATCTGCCACAGTCCTGAGCCCATCGTCAGTCTTCCTATGGACGAGAAGACTGTCACCTGGGACAGCAGTGGATCGAGCGGCAACACGGCCATGCCGGTGGTGGCCGCACCCTCTGACGATCCGGAGCTGCACTATCCCTTTTACCACCAGCGCGGACGCCGTCGGCGCCGCAGCCCGCCAGCAATGCCCGCATACGACAGCCACAATGTGCCTCTGTCGCTTGCCATGACGACACCGCAGCTGATGCATCGTCCGTTTCACCCGCCCCGCATGCGGGACAATCCACATCCGCGCCAGCAGACGCCGTCAGGTAGTTCCGGCACGTTCCGGGGCCGCTGTCGATATAGGTCGCCGTCTGTGGGAGCCACGGCTGCGGTTGCCGCTTTGACCGCCCCTACACTCTTCCGCAAGGCGTCCTCACGGTCCTCACGACCAAACACACGCTCATCGTCTGTGGCGTCATCCATGCATCACATCTCTCGGCCATCTTCGCCGCACGAGTGGTGGGGCGCGACCTCTGCCGCTGCCGCTGCCTCCGGCAATGGCTACGGCAAGAGCAGCAGCTGGCTGCGCCGCAGTGTCAGTCGCAGCCGCGGTCGCCAAGGGCGGCGTGTTGTTCCGGGTTCTGTCGCGGATTCTGCCGCCGCTCGACGCGGTATCGACTCCCCGTCGCCACGCCGCAAGACGGCCTACCGCACGCCCATGGAGACGGACCACGCGATGATGATGCAGCACTACATTCACCATGCCCTACTTGCACCACCACGGCCCCACGCCAAGACAGCGTCCCGGCGCGGCCATTGTCCGTCGCGGTCCGGTTCGGCCGAGGGCTACCACGACGACACAAGCGACCTGCCCGCAGCCTCATCATTAACTATTGACCCGATCGCCATGGCAGCACGTCGACGGCGTCGGCGGCAGCGGACACAAAGCCGGCCGCGGCCGCGGCGGGTAATGAGTGGAGATAGGATTGGGGACGGAGGTGGTCCGGCCAGCAATGGACTGTACGAGCTGGCTGGTTACTACACATTTGACCACGGCGGTCCAGCGGCCCACGCAGAAGCCATCCATGTACCTGGCGATACCACAGCCGCAACATCACTCGTACAGTTCCAGACGCTGCTGGCCGAGTCCAGCGACACAACAAGCGTCGGTGATGCAATGGACGTGGAGATGGGCTAGGACATCTTGCGTTTCTACCGCACATGTCTCTCTGTCACTCCTTCAAAATTGGTTTCTCAATTGCGTCGCACTATTGTATAAAACTCTATCAAACCGTTCCTTTAATACCTAATCTTCCAGTTTGGTGTTCCTGGCCAGGCGCTTAATAATTCTGTTCCATTTTCATATGTCTTCATTGCCATTCAGTCTAGGATTGCGTTAGGTCGGCTTGTAATATTTTTAATTACTTATTTCATAATTAATTTGAATTTATAATTTCGACAATGTAAGTTGTTTTTAATTTCCTTCTCTTTTTTTTTTACAAAAAAAAAAGGACAAATGGAAGAGTTTTGTTTACAAAATTTATTTACCCGACTGTTTAGTTTCTTTTCAACCCAATTAGAAAAAAAAAAATTATCAATGTGAATCGCTCTAAATATAAGCAGAGAGGAACTAAAGATCCAATCTTATCTGAAAAAGCTGCCACTCTTTTACATTACCTTAAAAGTTGTATTTACATGCATGATCAGTACTCTCCTCTATGGTTGTGCCCATCCTGTTTCATTCCATGTGCTACGGTGCCTTTTTCTCGTGTCTTGGTGTTTTTGATTCCTGATGACCATCTGACTGAATTTATTTTTGTATTTCGTGCATCTTGGCCGTCCATGCCGCGCAGACGTGCGTCTGCCTGTCATGCAAGTGCTCATTATGTGATATGTGCCAGCGAATGAACGAAGAGTGCACACAGTATTACGCAGTACGGCATATATTGCCAGCTGCTCTCTGATGTTTATCATGTAGAGGTGAATTATGCCCCGGAAACGTGCATTTTTCTTCTTCGTTCCCCGTCGTATCTACGAATGTGATCCTCTTCACCCGGGAGACCGACCTTATGACGCACGGCAACGAGGCCGGACACAACAGCACATTTGCAGACGCGGAGATTTGGAACGTGGCTGGGCTTTTGATGCCAACGCCTTACGAAGAGCCTCATCTTGAT